CCTCTTCATTTTCCCCTCGTTGCCGTCCTCCTCTCCTTCCCCTTCCCCTTCCCCCTCCGCCTCCGCTTTCTCCCCCCCCCCCCCCCGCCACCCTTGCCGCAGGAGTGACAGTGACCAGCTATGAGCGGATAACTTCCCGTCGGTCTCCAGGGGATGTCACTGCCGGCGCGCAATTAAAATAATCTGACACCGATTGAGATCAATGTGTGCCCCAGAGATGCTCTTCCTCAAAGGCGATTAGATCTCGCATCCAGCTCTCTTTTCTTATCCATATTATTTGTGCTCCATTTCTCATCCACTCTCTTTCCTTTCTCCTTTTCCTCCTCCACGTTATTTTTTTCTCCCCTATTCTCATCCACCTTACTTGTTATTCCCCTTCTCTTCATCCACCTTACTTTCTACTTACCCTCTCCTCACCCACACTGTTTTCCCCCTTTTCACATCCACTTCACCCCCCCCCTTCTCATCCACCTCATTCTCTCCCTTCCTCCTTTACTTTCAATTCCTCTGTGGCACTGAGCTTATCACTTCCTCACTGATTCTCTCTGTTTATCTTCCGTTATATCCTCTCTCGATATACTTATATACTTAACTCTTCTCATCCTAAGTTTCTTTCACTCTTTACCTTTCCTCTGGTTTTATTTGGCATGCATATAAATAAATCAATTAATCAATAAGCATACAAACACACACATATACAAGTATAAACACTCACACACACACACACATATATATAAATGTAAAATAACTATTACTGCCAGAAATTATAAACCCACACAAGGTACGTCCCTGGCGAGCTGAAACAAAGGTCTGAACGAAAATAATCATCCGGAGAGATAACGAAGCGAAGTGAACAATGCTTTCATTACAGAGAAATATCTGTGTAAAAATTCTAGCTTGTGTATATGTATCTGAGTATGTATATATGTATATGTATTTATACATGTTTGTACAATATGCGAGTGTCTGTGTGTATTCAGACTCACTCACCTATGTATAAACAAATAACCAAGACAGAAACGGACAGATAAACACAACTCCAACTCAAAAGAAAGAGAAAATGGAAAATGACGTCATCACCTGTCATCGCGGACAAAGGAAATTACGTGAACGAGGAAGAGACGGACAAATAAAACGCCCACGACGACATTAACCGCCCTTGCGACCGAGGAAAAAGGAATGATAAATGAGACAAACAGACAGACAGACGTTATGGGGGGAAAGGAAGAAAAAGAAAAAAGGAAACGAAAAGAGCATCTATTCTGACCTTCCCCTCATTTCCCTTTGGTCTCTCCCCTTGCCCCTCCCCCCCTTTCTCAAGTCTCCTTCACTCAAATTCTCTCACACCCTTTTCTACCTCCTCCTCTCCCTGAGCAATTCCCCTTTAATCACCCTTCCATTCTCCTTTGTTTCATTTTCTCTTCTGCCATCTCTCACTCTTACTTTCTCCCTCCTGCTCCACTTTTCGTTCTTAACCCTTCCTTCCCCATCTCCTCTCTTTCTTTCTAGCTTTCTTCCTTCCCTCCCTCCCTATCTAAGTCTTCCTCCCTCCCTCCGTCCATCCTTTCTCACCTACCATATAAGTATTCCACCCATTTCTTCTTCTTCCTCCTCTCTCTCTCCCCTCCCCCTTTCTCCTCCTTCTTCCTCCTCCTCCTCCTCCTCCCTCCTTTCCTTCATCCTCCCTCCTCACCCTCCTCCTCCTCCTCTCCCTCCTTCCTCCTTCCTCCCTCCTCCTCCTCCTCCTCCTCCTCCTCCTCCTCCTCCTCCTCCTCCTCCTCCTCTTCCTCTTCCTCTTCCTCTTCCTCTTCCTCCTCTTCCTCTTCCTCTTCCTCCTCCTCCTCCTCCTCCTCTTCCTCCTCCTCCTCCTCTTCCTCCTCCTCCTCCTCTTCCTCCTCCTCCTCCTCCTCCTCCTCTTCTCCCCCCTCCTCCTCCTCTTCTCCCCCCTCCTCTTCTCCTTCCCTCCTTGCTCCCATCCGTCCGCCTTGAAATGCCACCGTAACAAGGCAGCGCCCACCGCTTCCCCCGCGCAGAAGGGCTGAGTGAAGGAGGCGGCTTCCGGTATTTAATGGCGTCGGAGGGATTGGGAAGATGGGCGGAAGAAAGGAGGTGGAAAGAGGAAGAGGAAGAGGAGAGGAAGAAAAAGAGGAAGAGGAAGAGGAGGAGGAGAGGAGATGAGGAGGAGGATAGGAGGAGAGGAGATGAGGAGGAGGATAGGAGGAGAGGAGATGAGGAGGAGGATAGGAGGAGAGGAGATGAGGAGGAGGAGAGGAGATGAGGAGGAGGATAGGAGGAGGAGGAGGAGGAGGAGGAGGAGGAGGAGGAGGAGGAGGAGGAGGAGGAAGAGGAGAAATAGAAGAACGAGCAGAGGAAGCAGAAGCAGCAGTAGAAGTAGAAGAAACGGAGTAAGAGGAGAGTAAAAGCACAAGAAAGAGAGGAAGAGGGAGGGGGTGAGGAAGAGGGATAGGGAGATGAAGAGGAAGAAGGAAAAAGAAAAAAAAGCAGAAGAAAAAGAAAGAGATACTGAAAGGCGGGGGAATGCGCAGCCAAGGGAATCTAAAAATATGACAGAAATGGAGAAACACAAAGAGTGAAAACGACGAGGAAACACGCAGAAGGTATCGAGGTAAGAAAAGATAAGAGCAACGTTCATGAAAGAAAAGCAGGAATAGAAATGGGCAGCCAATCGCCCCTAAAAACTACTGAACAAAAGAAGAACGATGGCAACACATGATAAATAAAAAAAAAGGAAAAATATTTAGAGATACAAAGAAAAATACCGCAAATAGCATCTTAAGAAATAAAGCCCCGACGGAGAGCAGAACCCAATAAAACAAAGGAAAAACGCCATGAAGTGCCGGCGTCACACCTGTCAAAAATTCTTGGTTTATTACGCAGCCGTTCTAATTATCTAGAAAAAAAACACACACACACAAAAAAAAGAGACAGAGATCGTGAATTAAAGAAAATACAGTATTGTTTATGGCAGATCGTAATAAACAGACGCGCTAAAATATTCACAACACATTGACACAGATACACAAATGCAAATCACAAACAAAAATACACACAGACATAGTTACAAACAATCACCCATACAGTAGACACCCACCCCTTACAAAAAGAAACACACAAACACACACACACACACACACACAAAACCACCACCAACAACAACAAATATAAAAATAACAACGGCAAATAACTACACACACAGCCCACCATGAGTCAAGACGAGCTTGGGGTTAATTTGGGCCGAAGTGTCTCCAAGAAAGCGGCCAGGCAGCGGGGTCTTCACAAGAGACGAAGACTAGGACCTAAGACCCGATCGCCGCGGTTCATCTCGTTGGCTATGAGAGGAATTTGGTCGCTTCTCTCTCTTTCGGTCTCGCGTTCTTTCTGTGTTATCAAAGCCTATTTCATTCATTTCTTTGCTCTCACTCTTTTTTCTTAGGTTTCATGCGTTGCATTGTTATTTGTCTTACATTTAACACATTTGAGGTTTGAATGTATACACGCATACACGCACGCATGCGCGCACGCACGCGCGCGCACACACACACACACACACACACACACACACACACACACACACACACACACACACACACACACACACACACACACACACACACACGCAGACACACGCACGCACACACGCAGACACACACGCAGACACAGACACAGACACACACACACACACACACACATATATATATACACACATCATATACCAGTCACTTGCTTCCCTAATAAGTCGTAGGGATGCTATCATACATTATGCAAATCTGCGCTTACAGATCATGATCTTGCAAATTGGATGACTTAATTTCGCGTCTCCAACCCTGATTAGCCTCTCCTGAAGCTGTAGTTATACCAGTTTCAAAATTACATCTAAATCCCCACAATACATGCCAGTCTACAATTCTTTAACAAAATGTACTACCATACATCAAAGACAAAGAAAAATTAAACAAAATTACTCACGTATTCTTTGACGTTTTTCGTCTTGACGGCCTTGTACGAGTAGTAGGCTGGGAACAGCGTCCCAAACACTAATCTGTAATGACAAAGAAAAATACACATTAGAATCAAGCACAGAAGAATGAAAAAAGAGGGAAGAGGGAAGAGGGAGGAGGGACAGGGAGAGGGAGGGGGGAGGGAGAGAGAGGGGAGGGGGAGGGAGGAGAGAGAGAGAGAGAGAGAGAGAGAGAGAGAGAGAGAGAGAGAGAGAGAGAGAGAGAGAGAGAGAGAGAGAGAGAGAGAGAGAGAGAGAGAGAGAATGGCTTTGTTTCCCTAGAATGAATCGATACGCTAATTAGACACCGGAGCGCCCCCGCACGTGTCTGTTGACTCTGTTCTGCACTTGGCACCCCTGGTTGCCACAGGGCGCTGCCCACTCGGCAACAATAGGCCGGCCTTGCTGTATCCCCCCCCCTCTTTCATTCTACAACAGAACCCTCGAATAGAATTTCCTCCTGCCTTTTTGTGTTTATGTTTATGTTTATGTTCGTGTTCGTGTTCGTGTTCGTGTTCATGTTCAAATTCGTGTTCGTGTTTATGTTTATGTTTATGTTTATGTTCATGTTCAGGTTTATATTCGTATTCGTGTTCGTGTTCGTGTTCGTGTTCATGTTCATGTTCGTGTTCATGTGTGTGTGTGTTTGTGCCTGTGATCACGCGCGCTCGTGAGTAGAGAGGTGCATTAAGTGCGGCGGCCAAGGTGAGAGAGACCGCAGCTGGTGCAAAGTTACGAGCTGCCTCGTAGCAGCAATCAGCTGGAGCAGCCCAGCTGTCAGGTGGCGTCCCCTGACCTGGCTCGTGTCCAAATGAGCTCCCTAGGACAAAGCCTCTCTCACTCCTCGTCCCGCCTGCATCCTTCCTTCATCCAAGTCACAATCCCCCTCCCCTTCACCAGCGGCAGTAGGCCTACATACAGAGGTGGTCCATCAGGAGGACACAAATACCATCCTCTTGACCTACAAACGCGCGGGCGAGCACGTGCTTGCCCCGTGCCAAGGTACCACCAGGTAGTGCCGCATTCCCGGAAATGAGAACCGCATCACAACAAACAGAATGACAGAAGGCATCCATGACGGGTGTGCGCCGTGTCACTTGAACTTAACTACCGCGCTCAGGTCTCCGAGCCTTGGCACTCACTTCCGGAGCAACTAATACTTACTTCACGGCATTAATGGCCACGGAAACCTGAATGGTGCCAAGATCAGACTAACGCGATTTGAGGCACCTTGACTCTCTCCGTCTCTCTGTCTCTCTAAATAAGCGTTTATAAATAGGTGATATATTTGTTCTCCCAACTTCAGAAATGAACTCTTTACACGTCTTATCCTTCTGGCGGTGCTCCCACCAGAGCAAGAGGAGCTTCCCACGCATCTACAATCTCCACAAACTCCACACGCACAAACAAGCAAAAAATAAGCAAAAACTACTAAAGAAAACAATACAAAGAAAAAATGGGGGGAGGGATATATGGTAAGGGGTTAGCGCAAAACCACACTGAAATAACTATATACGATGTGGCATATACTGGATTACCTAGAAAAATAAATTAAAATAAAAGTTACAGAACACAGCACACGCGGGGGCCTGAGGGCTCTTCTGGGGATGTGTTAGTAATGGACTTGCGGGGTGCAGAGGCGCAGCAGCAGTACCTGAAGGCGGCGTAGAGAATGGCGGCGCTGTTGGGCAGCACGAGGGCGGCCACGACCACCACCACAGTCAGGTTGGTGAGCGTGACCCTCACGCGCAGCCGCGACGACACCAGCACGTCCTCGTACAGGTGCGCCACCGTCACCATGGAGTCCGACCTCTGGAGGCGAGCCTGTCCAGCGAGGGCCTCCTGGAGTTCGTCCTCGAGAACCTCCTGACAACCTTCTTCCTCGCTCAGCTGGTCAAGGGGCGGAGGCACGGACAAGCCCGGCGTCCGTGGATGCTGGGAGTGGGCGTGGGGGCGGCGTAAGTGCGGTCGGGTCACCCCTGGGTCGGAGGCGGAGTGCATGAGGCGCCGGGCACGCCCACGGTACACCACACCCGAAGGTTCCCTTTCGCCGGGCACAGGACTCACGCATGGCGGCGTTGGGGAGTCGTCGTAGCTGTCGAAGCTCTCGCTGAAGTCGTAGTTTTCGGCACTTGGAAGGACCTGCTCGCCTGGGTAACAGACTGGCTGGGGATGAAGCGGTTGGGCGGGCTGTTCTGACTGCGCGGCTTCCCTCGGAAGATACTGGGCGTCATGGCTCTGGCAGGCGAGGTCCTGGGGTGAGAGTTGGGATCCTTGAGGTCCTTGTGGGATGCCTTGCAGGGCTGGTTGGGCGGCGTAAGAAGATTCTAGGCGAGAGGGTTGGGTCTTCACGAGGCGCTGTGCTGGGCCCAGCTGCTGAGCGGACGCCGGGCCGGCGATCCGCAGGTTAAGCCCAGCCTCCACAGGATTCGCATCCGAGTCGGACTCCTCGTCGATCAGACGAATCCTCAAGTTGGCGAGGTCCCTTGCGGCCGCATGGGAGGATCCCGACCTCTGAGGAGCCAGGGGAGCCGCGGTGCCCAGGAGAGAGGGGGACATCGGTCGGCCTTCACTTGCACTGCTCGAGGGAGGGCTAACTGGGTGGCTGACGATCTTGGTGAGGCGGTGGGTCTGCTGCACCGCTGGGGGAGGCCCTGCGGAAGCAAGCCCCGCTGGCGGCGCCATGGGCGACAGCTGCATGTGCACAGTGGTTACGGGCGCTGCGGAGACCTTTGCTGCACTGACGGCCGCCTGCGTGACGGAGGCAAGGGGTGTGGGGGCACGAGCCTCGTAGCCAGGACTGATGGGCACTTGAGCGGCAGTTATCAGCTGTGAGGGAGGGGTAGGGGAAGAGGACACCGGAGTGGTGCTCGGGGACGGCCTGGAGGGCGGCTGCGGCGCCTGGCGCTTGGGGCCCGACCGCCGGAGACGCTCCTTCTGCGGTGACTTGGTCCCTGAACCTCCTGGGGTCCTGTCGAGCTCCGAGTGCGAGCTAGCTAGGCTCCGTCCCAAGCTGGAGGCGCCATCCTCCGTGGACACGCTGGCGAAGCTCAGTTCACTATCAGTGAGACTCACGAAGGAGTCTTGGCGCTCCATCCCACCGCCTCACTATTTCTGTCACTGCCGCTACCCACGGGGAGGTCACGCACTCCTGAACGTGGTCACACCGACATGATAACCCTGTGTATGCCGGTACGTGACAGCAAACGCGACCACAGAACTACGACAAGGGTGTCTTGGGTGCCGGAGAGAGCCAGGGTGTGCCCGGGTACAGAGCCAGAGTGCCACTGGGTGCCCCGCCGCCGCCAACACTCCCTCAGACTCAAATAGCTCCCCGCTCTCTGGCATGTGCGCCGCGTGTCACACTTCCCTCTGCTACAAAGACCACCTTTCGTTACCACCTCAATACTACGGCCTTCCGCGATCTCCTCGGTCTAAGTCGGTGACTGCGACCTCAGGCCTTGAGCACACGGACGCGCACGACCCCGCACACCACACGTAACACAGGCCACTGTTCCCCCGCGACCTCCTGCATAACATAACACGTCGAGACCTGCACAACGCCCGAGATCTTCGTCTCGGTAACAGGGAACAGGTCGCCTCGCACAACAACGTGCACGGGAAATACAGCTGACGGGAATCGTTGTGGCTTATTTTTGGAGGCGTGGATGCCCCCCGACTGAACTGCTACTGTTGCTGTTCTTGGTGCTGCTGTTGCTCTCCAAGTCGACAGCAAGTTCTCACGCATACAGGTCTTCCCCAGGTGCCCGGCGCCCACCACTTCCGTACTCACCAGGACTCCCCAGGGCACTCCACCCTAACAGCGCTCACCCTTCCTCTCTCTTGCTCCCTCGACCACTATCACGCACATACTGCGAGGACACCCTTCCTAGCTTATCGCATTTACCAAGCCAAGCATGACATATTGTTATGATTTCTAGGATGAATTAGACGTCATTGTCTCCCTCCTAACCCAAGCCGCATCCCCCATTCTCCCTCCTATCTTTCCCTTCCCCTATTTTAACTCAAACCATAGTCCCTCCCCCTCCCCTGCAGACTCCCCAATGAGAGAGCCGGAGAGCAAGAGAACAGTGTCAACCGAGTTAATTCACCCAATGACTCGTTCATCAACGCACGCACGCTTGTGACGCAACTTGGGGCGAAGACAGTGGTGAAGACAACGCTGCATGTTATGATGATAAGGTTGGGCGTTTTCGGCGGTGCGTTGGCAGTCTTAGCGTCCTGACAACTGGTGTCAATTACGGAGTTGTTAGCGTTAGTACCAACGCCTCGGCATGGTAACCTGAATTACTAATGTATTGCTAAAACATCTCTGTACGTGGCACTATATGCGATGCTTCTGTTGACAGTACATGCTGAAAATATGACTGCGCAGGAAACGACCGCCCTTGCTGCCTCCACGCTTCGACGGCGGAGAGGCTCGGACGGCAAAATGCGTGATGATTTGCAATGGCGTTCGTGGTACTAGCATAAGCAGCGAATAACAAAGGAGTGAGGATGCAGGTGGTCGTGGCTGTCGGGGTCGGTTGCGTCAGTATTCCTGGGAAACATTTCTGGTTCGTCAGGTTCCGCCGAGTCCCAGTGACCCTTTGCGATGCGGACTGACTTTCTACCTGGCCTCCTACGCCCTTCTACCTGTCCTCTACGCCATGTCACTCTTTCCCTGGGCATTAGTTCTCTCCCTGTTGCTCTCTACATCCTTCTTACTAATATAACGACATTACCCCTAATTAAAGCTACTATCAACTGGACCTAAAGTAGACTTCATTTAAGTCTTACTCTTACCACCCAAGTCCTAAATCCTTCAATAAAAATACCTCTACCACCCATGACCTCAAATCTTTACTGAAAAAAGATAACTACCTTTCACAACAGCAAAATACCCTCCCCCCTACAAATACCCTGAACTCCCCCTTCGCCCATACACTTGCAAAGGGCCGTGCAGCGGTGGGCGGGTCAAAGGGGGATAAAGCGTGCCGTAACATCAACAGTTTACGTCGGGCGTCGTCGGCCCGCGGTCATCAAGGGCGTTTGTAGTGTTTCGTGAGGCAGAGTTACATTATCTCCCCGAGGACGGCCCGGGGGATCTTGTAAGAAGTCCTGGGCCGAGCAGGTGATGGAGAGCGAAGTCCCCGAGGGCTACTGGTGGTCAGGGAGGAGGTGAGGCCCGGGCGGGGGCGTCCAGGGGCGTCCCCCCGCCACCATTCGAGGGATGTACACCACCAGGCGGGCGCCGTCGTTGAAAAAAATGGTGATCCGGAACTGGATGCTGTTAGGGTAGGACATAATGCCTCCCTCGTCTCCCTCCGTCTCCTCTTCTCTCTCCTCTTCCTTCCCTTCTCAGATCACACAGAAGACGAAGGAAGGCGAATGACACAGGGCCCACAGCACCCGCCGGAAGTGGCACTGCAAGGTGGCACACCCTCTCGCCGACGTCGAGAGTCACACGCGGCGCGGCACCATTCAGGCAGGCCGAGATTTTCGAGTCACGATGGTGCTGCAAATCGGCGCCGAAGGGAAGACGGCTTGGCGACGCTGCATGTGACTGACGTTGCCTCGGGCTCTTGGCTAACGTAGAGAGTGAGAAGGATCGGGGAAGGCGGGGCTAGCAGGCATAGGCCTATGTCAGCCTCTGGTCTACACGTGCGTCCTGTCACCTGTCAGCAGGCGGAGTACAGGGAGGGAAAGAAGTACCGATAAAATTAAATGAAAATAATAAAACACTGTAAATAATAACAAAAGAACAACAACAAAATCAGCGGAGAAATAAAACCAAAATAAATCATTCTAATCTATACGGACGTGACGCTAAAAAAAATAATAACAGGAAATGAAGATAAATGACAATGATAAACCCCATGAAAACCTTTCTGAACACACACGCACACGTCGACGCACTCATCAAAAGCACGTGAAAGCAAGAAGACTAAGTACAGAACTACGCATCGTGACCTTTGCCTCCCCAAGCACAACAAGCAAGACCCCCCCCCCCCCACCAAGAACAAAATCACGAACGCCTCATTCCAATCCCCTCGGCTCATGGCAACCCGCCGAGAAAACGACAGTGGCCAACACCACCACGCAGGCTTCCCTTATCAATTTCATTCCAAACTTCAATAAAGGGTATGTTACGTCACCTCTCCATGACCTGCCCTTCTCCCCTCCCCTTCCCTCCTCCCTCCCCTCCATGCAACCTCTGCAACGCCCACGCCGTGCAAGACAAGACGCGCAAATAAAACGGCCTCCAATCGCAACCACACAGGACCTTAATGATGTAATAGGTTACCTCCCCCCTCCTCCCCTCCCCCAACCGCTCCCCCCTCCTCGTCCTCCTTCAATTTAAAAGCCTAACAACAGCCCCACTATAAGAGAAAACCATGACCCCCCCACCCCTAACCCCCTCCACAAGCCCCACCATTAAAACTCCCCACTCCCCCTCCCCCCTATGGTACTGGAGTGAAGTACCACCGAGTCAACAGCGACATCTCTTCACGCAAACCACACGTGCGCCATCTCGTCTTTATGTCTGTCTGTATCTCTCTTTTAATTATGCGCTCAGTGCCAGACACTTTTATCATTGTCTCTTTATCTCTATCTTTTCCTCTATATTTTTTTCTTCTCTCTCTCTCTCTCTTTACTCTTCTCTCTCTCTCTCTCTCCTCTCTCTCCTTCTCTTTTCTTTCTCTCTCTTTTTTCTCTTTCTCATTCTCATTCTCATTCTCTCTCTCTCTTTCTCTTTTTCTCTTTCTCTCTCCCCCCTTCCCTCCCTCTCTCCCAGCTGCAGGAAAAAAAAAACAGGAGGTGGATAACGGAGCGGGATAAGCAAGCATAAACGAGAAAAATAATGAGCACCTTCACAGCGAGCAGACAAGGAAGAGTTAGAGCGCAATCATCCCTTGCTCTCGCCAGTGTTTGCAATGACACACGACACCGCAGCTACACCTTCACGCTTTGCCACCTTCACACAAACACTCACATTTCGAGATACACGAACACACACATGCAAACGCTGATACACGCACATATGTACACGTAAAGGCGGACAAGTATAAGCGCATACATAAACAAATAATCAATCAAACAAATAAACAAAAGAAATACGGACAAATACACACACGAAAAAGCGCGGATACGACCACATACAAAAACACTTTCAAAAATATAAGGACACTAAGGATACTTCATCCATCCATTGCAGAATAATGGGTTTGGCGGCTACTAATGCAATTTTCAGCAACAGTAATTAATATACATTTTTTCGACGTCAAAGACAATACTGCAACTGTCAGCGTCAAAGAAAATCTGGAAATCTTCGGCGGCGAGGACAACTTTGCACTTTTTGGCGGCAAAGACAATAATGCAATTTCCGGCGCCGAAGATAATATTACATGTGCGGGAGGGGGGGGGAGAAGGGGAGAGATGGGGGAGAAAGGGAGATGGAGGAGTAAGGGGAGATGGAGGAGTAAGGGGAGATGGAGGGGGAAGGGGAGATGGAGGAGGAGGAGGAGAGGGAGGAGGAGAGGGAGGAGGAGAGGGAGGGGGCATGGAGTACGGGCCATGACATAGAAAACGGGGTGCCAGACCGTCTTCTCCTTCACCTCTTGGGAAGATACAAGAAAAGAGAGCGAATGAAAGCAAGCGAGAGAGAGAGAGAGAGAGAGAGAGAGAGAGAGAGAGAGAGAGAGAGAGAGAGAGAGAGAGAGAGAGAGAGAGAGAGAGAGAGAGAGAGAGAGAGAGAAACTAAATAAAAAGATCCATAGTATTGGGGAGAGCGATGTCAACAAAATCTATTCCCGCAATACAAACAAGCAATCAAACAAACCCTGCTAACAAAAAAAGACAAGAAATCAAAAGCAAAAAAAATACCAACATCAATTCAAAACAGAAAAATGAATAGAGAAGACAAGGGAAAAGAAAAGAAGACAATAAAATAACCGATAAAAGAGAGACAGCGAGAAGAAGACAGGAGACAGGAAGGAAAAAAAAAACACATCTAGCGCTTAAATATAGCCACATGTCGAAGCTGACACAGCAAGACCTGCGAAAGACACCGTGAGTCATGCCCTGCGCCGTCCTCTTCCTCCCCATTACCACCACGAGTCATTTTCGCACCGGAGGAAAGGTGCAAATAGTATGACATTCGTAGCAGTAGTAGCTATCATAAGAATAGTAGTAGTAACTGGAAAACAAAAAGAATAAGACTAAGGAGAAGAAGAGAAGGAAGAAAAAGAAGAAAAAGAAGAAGGAAAAGAAGAGAAGGTAGAAGATATCTCGCACCAGATTTCATAATCAAGCGATTATCCGTGACAATTTCAACCCAAACTTATATCACAATTTCCCCTGTGTTGACTTCATGAACAAACACGAAATAAACAAAGTCACGCGGATTACAACAAAGAAAAAGAGAGAAAGAAATCCAAGATAAACGCGTGGTGAATCACGAGAGCGTTCACAGTCATCACCACAGCGCCTGCATCCCCACCACTTCACCACCAAAGAGTGATGATAACGGTCGCCATACCAAAAATACCCAGTAAGCCAGAAACAAATGATACCTAATGATCATTAAAACAAATAACAACCATCGACCAAATACGAACATCCTCAAAGCTGTCAAGAAGAAGAAGAAAAAGAAGAAGAAAAAAAAACTTCTATTTCGACACTCCCGCAATGATGCTCTTCGTGCAATAAAACGAAATGAGAAACGGAACAAGAGTGGGTGAACGAAAACCATAAACCACGCACGAACGCACGCATAGTCATAAACAAGAAAAAAGAAAAGAGAAAGAGAGAGAGAGAGAGAGAGAGAGAGAGAGAGAGAGAGAGAGAGAGAGAGAGAGAGAGAGAGAGAGAGAGAGAGAGAGAGAGAGAGAGAAAGAGAGAGAGATTCCTCCTCCACATTCAACAATTTAAAAAACATCGTAAGAACGAAAACAGAAATAAGAGAAAGAAAGAA